TAAACTTAACCAAAGAGGTGGAAGAGCTTTTCTCTGAAAACTATAAAACATTGAAGAAAGAAATTGAAGTTGACAGAAGTGGAAAGATATCCCATGCTCACAGATTAGAAGAATTAATATTATCAAAATGTCCATATCACCCAAATCAATCTACAGACTCAGTACAATCCCTATCAAATACCAACAACATTTCTCCACAAAACTAGAACAAATAATACTAAAATTTGTATGGAACCACAGAAGACCCTGAAGAGCCAAAGCAATACTGAGAAACAAGAACAAAGCTAGAGATATCATAATTCCAGATTTCAAGATATACTACAAAGCTATAGTAATCAAAACAGCATGTTACTGGCACAAAAATAGACACATAGATTAATAGAACAGAATAGAGAGCCCAGAAATAAACCCATATTTATACGGTCAATTAGTGTCTGACAAAGGAGAATACATAATGGGGAAAAGACAGTCTTTTCAATAAATGGTGCTGTGAAAACTGGACAGCTACATGTAGAAGAATGAAACTGGACTACCTTCTAATACCATATACAATAATAAACTCAAAATGGATTAAAGATCTAAATATGAGACCAGAAACCATAAGAATTCTAGAAGAGAACGCAGGCAGTAATTTCTCTGACAGCAGCCACAGCAACATTTTTCTAGATATATCTTCTGAGGCAAGGGAAACAAAAGCAAAAATAAACTATTGGGACTACATCAAAATAAAAAGCTTTTGCATAGTAAGGGAAACCATCAACAAAACAAAAAGACAGCCTACAGAATGAGAGAAGATATTTACAGATGACATATCTACTAAGGGGTTAGTATCCAAAATATATAAAGAAATTGCACAACACCAAAACAAACAAACAAACAAACAAAAACCAAAAAACAAAACCAAGCAATCCAATGTAAAAATGGGCAGAGGACCTGAGTAGACATTTTTCCAAAGTAGATATACAGATGGCCAACAGATACATGAAAAGATGCTAAACATCACTCATTATCAGGGAAATGCAAGTCAAAACCACAGTCAGATATCACCTCACACTTATTAGAATGGCTAAAATCAAAAACACAAGGAAAAACAAGTGTTGGTAAGGACAGAGAGACAAAGAAACCCTCAAGCACTGTTGGTGAGAATGTAAATTGGGGCAGCCACTGTGGAAAACAGTATCAAGTTTCCTCAAAAAATTAAAAGTAGAAATACCATATGATCCAATAATTCCATTATTGGGTATTTACCCAGGGAAAACGGAAACACTAACTTAGAAAGATATATGTATCTCTACGTTTATTGCAGCATTATTTACAATAGCCAAGACATGGAAGCAAACTGTGTTCATCAATAGACAAATGGATGAGGAAAATGTGATTCATGTGTGTGTGTGTGTGTGTGTCTAAATATATATACACACATACTATGGGATACTTACATTATAAATGTACATATATATATGCATACTACATACACACACACACACACACACTATGGGATATTACACAGCTATAAAAAAGAATGAGATCATGCCATCTGAGACAGCAAGGATATACCTAGAGGGTATTATGCTAAGTGAAATAACTCAGACTGAGAAAGACAAATACCATATGATTCTACTCATAAATGGAATCTAAAAAAAAAAAAAAGTGAATGGGGTGCCTATGTGGCTCAGTCAGTTGGGTGTCTGACTCTTGATTTCACCTCAGGTCATGGTCTCGGGGTCGTGGGTTCAAACCCCATGTCTGACTTCATGCTCAGTGGGGGAGTCTGCTTCTCTCCCTCTCCCTCTCCCTCTGCCCCTCCCCCTCCTCACTCTCTCTCTCAATAAATAAATAAATCTTGTTTAAAAAGTGAATAAACAAAAAGCAGAATCAAAACTATAAATATAGAGAACAAACTGATGGTTGCCAAAGGGTAGGGGTGGGGTATGGAGTTGGGCAAATGGGTGAAGGAGAGAAAGAGATATAGGCCTCTAGTTATAAAAGAGTAAGTCACCGGGTATAAAAAGCAGAGCATGAGGAACACAGTCAATGATACTGTAAAAGCATTATAATGAGACAGATGGTAGCTACACTTGTGAACATAGCATAATATATAAACTTGTCAAATCACTAAGTTGTACACCTGAAACTAATGTAACATTGTGTGTCAACTACACTCAAATAAAAAATTAAGTTACATTTTTAAAAGTAAAAAATCTATCAAGATAATACCAAGAGGAAACCACAAAGGACAAAGATTGAGATCCAAATACATAAATATTTAAAACTCAATACTAAGTTAAATAATACTGTATTAAAAGATATATAAAAATTATATTACTTACAACATAATATCTTTACATAGACCTTTTACAAATCAGCTGTACACACACACACACACATACACACATACACACACACACACGAAGATAAAGAATGACCAGTAAATCTATGGAAAAAAGAAGGGTTAAGCTCTCAAATGACACTTTTTGCTCAGCATATAAACAGTGATTTACAAACCACAGACAGTATTAAGGATAGGTCATGCTTCTGGTGGTAACAAATATTTGTGCCACCTTTTGGGAAAGTAATTTGACTATATATATATTAAAACCTCTGTAAATTCTAATTCAAGGTGTTTGTCCTTATCCAATCATTAGACAAGTAACTATAAGGATTTCTATTGCAGGGATTTTGATATACATACAGACAGAAAAATATCTGGAAGGGTGCATACCAAAATAATAACTGTGGCTGTCTATAAATAACACCTGAAAAATCACTGTTTTTTTCCTTTTTATTACTCATCTGTATGTCTAAAGTTTCTATAATAAAGACCTATTTTGTAACAATTTGTCTCATTTTTATTCTCTTTTTCAGAAGACAAAAAGCACTTCAAAAGCATAGAAGTTGTGATGGAAACTTTGAGATTCCTATCCAAAGTTATCCACAAGTCAAAATTGTATTCCAATTGATTCAACAGGGCAGATTAAATGTGAAAAGCAAACAGTAGGCTCCCTTACACAGCAACTCTTGCTTCTTTTCTGCTTACTTCCACCTACATAGAGAATTGTTCAAGAACGATGTTTACAACACCATACATATTCTAGATAATTTTGGCCACGAAGTCACAATTTTCCATACCTGCCCAATGATTTTTTTCCTTTTTTAATGAGACCAGGTACCTGAACAAAATCTTTGTTTTGGGGAGGCAGGATACGGCAGGCAGTTGGAAGGAAATTAATGCCAACTGTCCTGAGATCCACTAATGTAAAAAGGCATCCCTTTCCCCTATATCAGCTCCTGATTACACACTGGGAAATAGCAGCAAGTGAGGAATGCTGAGCCTAGACACAACAACCAGAACACAACTGTGGACTTCCTAGGTAGCTAGGCTGGCAGGTGTAAGGCTGAAATGGCTGCATGCCACAGCAGTAAAATGCCTGCAACATTCACACATTTACAGTCATTTTGGTGATGTTTCCAATCCGGGTGGAGGGATTTCGTTTTCCCCATATTAGGCAACGACAAAGATTTCCAATGGACCAAACATTTTATGTTAGTGTCAACAGCACTAACGTAGCTTCAGCTGGCAGAAAAGAGGAAAACCAAGCGTATCGGCATTATTTACTCCAGAGAAGCTGGCTGAGTGCCATCTGTCTCAGCCACCCACCCCCACCCAATGCAGCCCTATCTATCCTACAGCTTTGTCCTGCTTCTGTGAGCCCCCTCAGTCTCGGCCCCAGAACCTAAAGTTCCAAGGCTTCCCTGAATACACACTTGGAAAGTTCATTTCAACAGAATGACTGGTAACACAGAAGATCTCTTAATGCTGCAAAGTATTATTAGTTTGCGGGAGATTTCCACAAGATGGTAGCATAGGAAAATCCTGAACTCACTTCCTCCCAAGGACACACCTACATATGGATCGTTTTTCTCTGAAAAAGATCTGAGAACTAGATAAACTGCTTCTCCACAACAAGGGATTAAAAGACCAATATTGAGACAGGTAGAAGTAGAGGCACAATCTCACCAAAAACCCCACCCCCAGCCTGGGACACACAACAGGGATCTCACCAGTCTGGCGCTTCTGCTGGAGAGAGGGGTTGGTGCCCACATCAGTCACCCCAACCCCTGGGACCTGCACCAGAGTGATGAGCCTCCCAGACATCCAACTTAGAAAGTCAACAGGGCTGACACCCAAGGGACCCAAAGTGCTGTAGGAAACTGAGACTCCCCTTTCAAAGGACTTGATACAGTCTCATTTGTCCCAAGACCCAGCAGAAAAGCAGCAGTTTGATAAGCACCTAAACTGTATGTGAAAGAGATTTATTTACTAATCTAAAAGCATCAGCTAGAGGGGTAGGGGACAGCTGAAACTCCCCCCCCCCCATCCCAGAGATGGAGGTACTAGCCATGCCATTTTTGGACACTCCATCTAACCTGCTAGCACACGTGGGTGCGCCTGGACACAGAGCCCTCCCACCACTTTGCTAAGACAGGCAGGGGCAAATGGTAGCAGCACTGTCTTGCTCCCACTGAAGCCAGCACACAGGTGGCTGTAGCATTCCCCTACTTCTTGGCTGGGGCAGGCAAACTTCAACAGTGGCAGCATTCTCCTGCTCCCTAGCTGAAGTCCATGAAGTGTGGAAGGCTGCAGCACTCCCCCATTCCCTGGCTATGGCTAGCAAATGTAGCGGTCATGGCATTCTTCCACTCCCAACATAAAGCTAGTACATTCTGCTGCTGCATTTTTGAAGTCCCTGGGCACATTCAGTCAAGATATTTTCCTGCTGCCTTTCTGAAGCCAGAGAGTGTGCCCCAACCCCTACACTTTCTGCCTAGCTAAAGCCAGTGGGGACACACAGGAATGCCCCTTAATCACCTGGCCCTGGTAGCCAAGGGGGCTAGCATTTGTGAGCTCCACAGGAATGTAACAATCAGAAAGACAGTTCTTGGAAGGCCACCAACCCCAGGGCACTGTATAGACAGAAGACGAAAACACAACCGCAGTCTTCCTGTGACAAGGTTTATTTACTTAACCTGGGGCTTCAGCCTAAGGGACAGGCTTCCAAAAAAAATTGGAGAGAATACTTCCAAACTCATTTTATGAGCCAGCATTACCCAAACCAGACAAGGACACCACAAAAAAGCAAAATTACAGGCCAACATCCCTGATGAACACATATGTAAAAATTATCAACAAAATATTAGCACACCGAATCCAACAATACATTAAAAGGATCATACATGATTAACTGGGACTTATTGCAGCATACAAGGATGGCTCAACATCCACAAATCAATTGCAATATACCACATTAATAAAATGTAAGATTAAAATATGATCATCTCAGTAGATGCAGACAAAGCATTTGATGCAATTCAACATCCATTCATGATAAAAACTCATTAAAGTGGGGATAGAGGGAACATACAAAATCCACAGTTAATATCATACTCAATGGTGAAAAGCTTAAAGCTTTTCCTCTAAGATCTAGAACAGGAAAAGGATGCTCACTCTCCCCACTTTTATTCAACATAATATTGAAGTCCTAGCCAGAGCAACTAGGCAAGAAAAAGAAACAAAAGGCATCCAAATTGCAAAGGAAAAAGTAAAACTGTTACTATTTGCAGATGATTTGATACTATAAATGGAAAACCCTAAAGATGTTACCAAAAAAACTTAGTATAAATTAATTCAGTAAAGTTGCAGGATATAAAATTAATATATAAAAATCTGTTGCATTTCTGTATATTAATAATGAACTATAAGAAAGAGAAATCAAAAAAAGCAATTCTGAAAAAAAAAAAGAAAAAAGCAATTCTGTTTACAATCACATCAAAAAGAATAAAATACCTAGGTATAAATTTAACCAAGGAAGTGAAAGACCTGTACACTGAAAACTATAAGATATTGATGAAAGAAATTGAAGGTAATACAAATAATTAGAAAGATATTCTGTGCTCAGGGCTTAGAAGAATTAATATTATTAAAATGTCATACTACCCAAAGCAATCTACAGATTCAGTGCAATCCCTATAGAAATCCCAATGGAATTTTTCACAGAAAACAAATAATCCTTATATGGAATACTACTCAGCCACAAAAAAGAATGAAATCTCGTCATTTGTGATAACCTGGGTGGAACTTGAGGGTAATGTTCTAAGAGAAATAAGTCAGACAGAGAAAGACAAATACTGCATGGTTTCACTTATATGTGGAATCTAAAACAAAACAAACAAAACCCAAGCACACAAATACAGAAAACAAATTAGTAGTTGCCAGAGAGGTTTTGGAGAAGTAGGGGACTGGGTGAAGGGGATGAAGAAACACAAACTTCCAGTTATAAAATGAGCAAGTTATGGGGATATAATGTACAGCATGGGGAATATACCAAATAATATATTAACTTTGCAAGGTGATAGATGGTAACTAGACTTAACAGTGGTGATCAGTTTGCAATGTATACAAATATCAAATCACTATATTATACACCTGAAACTAATAAAACATTGCATGTCAATTACATGTCATTAAAAAAATAGTATTAGTTTCCCAGCTGCAAAAACTATTTGCTCTTCCAACCTTCATTCTAAGACTAAATGCAATGCTCTCCTATATAACATGGAGTTGGGACTAGAGCATAAAGCATGGAAAACCAATATTCTTGCACTCTAAGGTCTATAACCTGGTTAAAGGCATAAAAGTAGAATAGGAAAGCCTACTGAATTAGCTATAGAACATTTTTCTCTATTGTACAGAGAAAAGACAAGTTTCCAAAACACCTAAAAACCACACATTGTATCCATATTTGTATCTAGTTGATTTTTATATAAACAATGGCCTTTCAGGCAATTAACTGGCCCACTGTGAAAAACCAGAGGAACAGTATTAGTAAGTAAATCAATACCAAAGGCAGATCCAATAGTGACTGCAGTCCTACATTTGATCTACATGGACTATAATGAATATAAAAATTAGACCCATCAAAAGAGAAAAACTTAAGAGCTTTTCATTAAAAATAAAAACAGACTTGGGGCACCTGGGTGGCTCAGATGGTTAAGCGTCTGCCTTCGGCTCAGGTCATGATCCCAGCGTCCTGGGATGGAGCCCCGCATCGGGCTCCCTGCTCAGCAGGGAGCCTGCTTCTCCCTTTCCTTCTCCTGCTCCCCCTGCTTGTGCTCTCTCACTCTCTCTATCAAATAAATAAATAAAATCTTTAAAAATAAATAAATAAATAAATAAATACCACTTATACAGAAGTATTTCAAAATTTATTCATAAATGTGTTTAAAAGAGTGTAAAAGATTTTTTCTTTTGCTCAAGTTTGTACCCCAGATTAAGTAGAGCTTAAAATCTAAAAAATGCCAAAGCTTCCCCAAATGTGATCTGAGAATTACATAAGAATTAGCTGCTTTGAGAGACAAGCATGCAGCACCCATAGCTCTTGCAAACCTGAAAGTATCAAATGACTCCCTCCTTTTTCATCTTACTAACATTGCTGTAATTAGGCTTCCAATAAGATGTGAAACCAATGAGAGAAATAGTGTAACATTCCAATGGCAATAGAAATTAAATATGAGCTCAGCAATCAGCTCCTACAAACATGTAAATAATGACAGGGAAAAACTGGTCATCCCCAGTTGTTCAGAGAAGTGGGTGCGCAATTGAAGTCAAGATAAAACCCGTGAGGATAAACAAAGGAGCACTAAGGAAAATCATCAAGTGAGGTTCTTCAGGTCAGTTGACAAAGGACAGATGTAAGTAAGTATTTCTCATACATCCTGGAAGAAAAAGAAAACAAAAATGAATATAAGCAGCAAAACAAAATTCAGAGCCTCTGTAAGTACAAAATGAAGTTCCCTCAAACACTCTTTACTATATTGGGCTTAAATGCCTATTTTTTATTTAATGATTTGTCCCAGTGACATGTTTTAATTTTCAAGTCCCATTGCATTTGATTCACAAAATAGTCTCTGCCAACAATGTAATGGCTTCCTGAGTGACAGCTCATCAGCTGTGTTCTTAGAGATAGGTTAACATAGGTCACAAATAAGTGTTCACAAATACTGTCACCCACCTCCATAGTTACGGCAAGGACAGGACTAACACAGTGTGAAGCGGAGCAATTTAAATGGAAATGTATGGAGTAGAATGGCATCGTATTATGCAGCAGAAAGTTGACTTCTAAGGGGACCTCCAGGAAGGGAGCTAGACTAAATGAGTCCCCTCCACCCCCCCCCACCCTGTGCAAAGGGTCAAGAAGTCTCCATCAAGCCTCCCAGAATGCTGGGCAACGTTACACTTGGGATTCAGACTATTGCTGTTCTAACATTCTGGGAAACTAAAATCTCAGGTTTCCTCATAGGTCATGGCAAACATGCAACTGCCCTTGAAGACACAGGATTTAGAGTTTCTACAGCATTTCAAAAAGTTACACCTACTGGTATCAGAGAAAACAGAACTTGAAGTGATTCTTTCAAAGTCCTACCCTAGTTACATCATGAAAAGTAGTAGAGGAGTCTAGAAAACCAAAAAAATTTTAATGTAAAAGTAATTTTAAATTTTCAAAGATATATCTATCTATAGATAGATATAAAGGAATATGAGACTAATGTGATTTAAATTTAAAAAGAATGAAAGATAAAGATCAATCTAATTTGTTTACCCAAAATACACTTATCAAAGACCTACTAAAGTGTTCATAGGATGTTCCAAGAAACAAGTTTTTCTCTCTTTGGCTTTCATCATTGTTTTGTTGTATTTTCTGCCCTCCTCCTTTTCTTCTTCCTCAGCTTTTTATTGATTCCAGTAGTTCTTCCAAGCCCCATCTGTGAACTCTTCTCTCTCATTCCTGGGGAAGCTCAGGTGTTATCCATCAACTTCTAAAAAAATGACACAGTCTAAATACATTCTGTATACTAAACTTTTGTCCGCTTGTTATTTACAAAACATGTCCAGGATAAAAATCTTCATACATGGTTTCTCCTCTTTCTTTTGTATGGTGTCCTTTGATGAACAGATGTTTCATTTTAATGTATATTTATCATTTCTTTTTGGTTTATACTTTGGATCTTACAAAATCTGCCCTAGGTCAATTTTATAAATAGTCTATTTTCTTCTAAAATTTGAAAAGTCTTCTTTTCTACTTATAAGCCTTATTCCACCTTAATCCACCAATCCATGTGGGTATTCAACTGTCCCAATAGTATTTGTTGAAGAGTACATTTTCCCCCAATGATGTACTTTGCCTTCTGTCATATGTCAGAATTCCAAAAACGGTTGGGTCTGCCTGTGCCAATTCCAGACCGTATTAAATGTTTAATCAAGTCTCCATACATACTTTTTATTTTTCGTAGTGAATTGGTTATTCTTGGTTCCTTGCTCTGATTATAATTTAAATAAATCTATAGATTTGAGAGCTCCTTCCTATTCCTATTAACAAGGTATAACTTCCTTCATTTATTCCTTAAGATCTTTCTATAAAAATTTTTTTAAAGGTTATGTCCATTTTTGGTTTCATCTTTTTATTAAATTTTTGTTTATTTGCAATTTACAGAAATGAAGTTTTTATAGATTGATCCTACACCTACCAACATTGTTGTGCTCTTTTTTATTTTAATAACTTAAATATCATTTCTTTTGGATTTTCTGAGTAGATAATTATATCATCTGTGATTTATAAATGTTTCTTTTCCTTTCAACCCTTGCATATGATTTAAAGGAAATGCTTTTGATGTATTTCTATTATAGATTTTTGCTCCCTTTATTAGCTAAAGAAATTTCCTAGCAGCTTTTACCACAAACGAGTATTGAAACATATCAAATGTTTTCTTTGTATCTACTAAGATGATCATATGGTGTTTCTCCTATAATTTATGAGGTAAATCATCTCAGTTTTTCTGTTTTGTTTTGTTTATTCATTTGTGATAAATCAAGCTTGAATCTGGGATAAATCCAATTTGATAAGGATATATTATACTTTTTAAATAAATTTATTATTGAATCTGTCAAAATTTTGTTTGTGATTTTTTTAAATCTGTGTTTATGAGTGAGCCTATGTTCATTTTTTTTTTTTTCTGTATAGTCTGTGTGTGATCTTGATTCAAGTTATATTCACTTGCTTAATTCTTTGGAGATTATTTTCTCTTATTTATCTGGAAAACTTTCTAGACTTTTGGAATAATCTGTTTTTTGAATATTTAGTAGAGCTTTTCTGCAATATGTCTAGGCCTGGTTTTTATTTTATGCAAAGACAGTGACAAATTAGATAGTGTTGGTATCATTTTGAATTCCCACCAACAATGTGTGAATGAACCCTTCTCCCCACAGTCTTGCCAAAAGAGTATATTGCCAATCTTTTGTCCTTTTGCCAAAATAGTAGATGAGAAATGGTATTTTGATTTAGTTCTTAATTTGTGTTCCTTTTATTGTGATGAATTCATTGAGTGCTTTAATTCCAAAGATTATGTTTCTTTATTCCTAGAAGTTCTATTTTGTTCTTTTTCAAATCTTCTTGGTTGTCTTTGTCTCTTGTTTTTGCTCATTGTTTCAAATGTAATATTTGTTCCATCAAATGTTTTATACATAGCTATTTTAAATTTAGTATCTCAGCATTTCAGTATATCAAATCATTTGGTTCTAAATCTTTGTTGTTTTGCCAACCCTCAATCACAGCCACCTGTTTCCTTGTGCCTGTGCTAAGTTCCAATCACTGTCTTATGCTTGGGATAGATCAGTGAACAAAACAATCAAAGGGCCCTGATTGATGCAATATGGAACATACATTACCTCAGGGAGAGACTAAGAGTAAACAGTAGATAATACATATAAGTAAATAATGTTAGAAAGGAATGTTAGAAGTTGCAGAGTGCCATTAAAAAAAAAAAAAAGTGAAGCCCAGAAAAAGGATGGCTAGAGCCAGGCATAAGGGCACATGTAGCAGCATTAAATAGATGGCCAAGGAAACCTCACAGAGGTGGGATTCAAGAAAAGGCTTGGAGAACAAATCATATGGAGAAGAGTAGAGAGAGAACAGCCAGTGCAAAGGCCATAAGGTGAAAGCCGCCCGCTCCTTAAATTTTCAAAGAGCAATAAGAAAGCTAGTGTGGCTGGGAGGAATGAGGAAGAAGGGAAGGGCAGTGGTAGGACAGCATCAGAGGGATAAAGTGGGGTCTAGATCAGGAAGCACCTGGTAGGCTACTGTACGGACTTTGGCTTTTACTCCATGTGATTTGGAGAGTCATGGGAGCCACTGAAAGATTTTAAGGAGGGAAGTGACAGGATCTGGCTTCTGTTTCAAAGGGATAACTCATATTGAGAATAGGCTGTATGTGGCTAAGTGTGGAAGCAAGGAAACCATCTAGGAGACTATTTCCAGATTCTAGCTGAGCACTAACGGAGGTTAGAAGTAGGATGATAGTGATGGAGGTAGTGAGAAGCTGCTGGTTTGTACATATTTGGAGGAGAAGTCAAGAGGATTTGCTGATGGATCAATTGTGAGTGATGTGAGATGGGTTGTACCACTATATAAAAGGAAAAAGTGCAGATGGAGCACTCAGGTAGAAGGAATCAAAGGTTAACTTTTAGACATGTTAAGGTTGAAATGTCCATTAGAGATGCAAGTAGAGATGTTGAGTGGATAAATGGATATGCAAGTCTGGAGTCAAGAGGTCAAGGCTGGAATTAGAAATGTGGGAGTAATAAACATATAAATGGTATTTAAATTCATGAGAATGAATGAGGCCACCAAGGTGTTAAGTGAACATAAAGTTCAGAAGGTGATCCAAGGTGGAATTCTGAGGTGCTCCAATGTTGAGAGGACAGCAAGATGCAGGGGATTCAGCAAAGGAGAATGAAAAGGAGTAGCCACTAGGATTGGTGGAAACCCAGGAGAGTATAATGCCCCAGAAGCCAAGTAAAGGGCTTCAGAGAGGAAGGAATGATTCACCATGACAAATGATGCCAGTAGGTCAAAAGAGGAAGACTGAAAAATAACCACTGGACTTTGTAATGTGGACGTCATTAGTGACCATGACAAGAGCATTATGGTTGGACTGATAAAGTCTAAATCATGATTTAAACGAGTTTAAGAGAAATGGGAAGAAAGAAATTACAGACAGCTAAAGGATAGATACCTCTTGAAGTTTTGCTTGAAAGGGGAACAAAGAAACAGGAGAGTAGCAAGAGGGAGAAGGGTGTCAATATAATTTATATTTCTATTTTATGCTGATGGGAATTTTCTAGTTCAGAGGAACATTTGAATTTTCAGGAGAGAGGGGAGTATCATTAGAATAAAGTCCCCTGGTAGGTGGATGAGAAAGAATCTAGTCCCCAAGGAGAAACAGACATAGAGGTAAGGATGTCTGTAGGGAGGTGGAGGTGGGGCCCTGAGGAAACTCTCGCCTTTCTGTCACTGCTTCTTCCAAGTAAGGGAAGAGCTGATAACCATCTTGGACTTGACCAAGACTGTCCTACTAAGGAAACTTTAATAACCTTCACACATATCAAAAGAAAATGATGTTCTTTTCTTTTTATCCATGAAGAATCTAAGCAGAGATTTATAGCTCACTTCCATAAAGCCTACCATTAGTCAGTGGTGAACTAGATTTCCAAATCCTCATTCCCTTAACAGCAGCCCACGTGGTATTCATTTACTCTCCCCCATCATCTTCCCCTCAATTCCAGGTATTTTTCTAAGTACTTTCTAAATTTCGAGAGTTGGTAAGTAGAGGAGAAAATGTGAAGTTTCCAAGTCTTGTCCAAAATCCAAGTTTCAATCATGTCTCACAACTTATAAATTCCATGAGCTTGGATAAGGTCTTCAGTCACAATGCCCCATTTTCCACAGGACTCCTACTCATATATTCTTATGAATAAGTCAATAATTCATAAATTGTAACTCCTGATACAAAAATATTGTGTTTTCTTTTCTCTCTCTTCCATGTTGTCCCTATTCTGAATGCCATAGTTATACACATGAACATACATTATGGATACACATCCAGTATCATTCCTTGCAAATTTGCCTACATTCAATTATCTTCTATATGTATATATATAGAAGATAGTTGAATATATATATTTGTGAAATCTATTCATCACTTTTAACTACTAAATGCCTTTCAAGAAAACATGCATAAGATTTCCAGCAGATTGTCTTCTCAAAAATTATCTTTTGTCCATCAAGTATTTATTAAAGCATGATCTGTAGAGTTTCCAGCAAGCACTTGATTATTTTGTTGTATTTTACCAGTTTAAAGATTTCTATCTGCTCCATTTTTTTAGTAGGTACATATGCACTTGGGCTTCAATTAAATTATAAAACCCAGCGTAGTTTTGATTCTATACACATTGCAAAGCCTGCAGCCATACACATTCCAAAGATTCGGTGCTGGTTCAATGATATATTGTGCACACAAAACACATTAAACACATATTACAACACAGTTGCAAGGTTTTCTTCACAAATCCATAAGGACATTTCATTTCCAAAAAGTGCCTTTTACTGTAGGGTTTTTTTTTTAATCATTTTGTAGTGAAAAATTAAATACTGGCTTCTTTGATGTGCTAGTTTCACTGAAAGAATATATTACTAGAGAATGCTTACTATTTTTATAACCATATTGCACTTAAAATCCTCTTGAAAAAAAAAATTCATTTGTTTTTGTTGTAGGTCTGGGCAAGGGGTGATAAAAAATCTTTACAGTCCAGGCAATCACACTGAGAACAAAGGGCAGGTGTCATTTTTATTTTGATTGGCCAGCAATGAAACCAGGACTTTCTCCTTCTCTCTAGAAACTATTGTGGAACTTACAGTAATCACCCTGGCTGACTGCCCATCACACAGCTGAACAGCACACCAAAAAAATAGTATCTTGGGAGAAAGCCACAACAGATTTTTAAAATTCTCATTGTTTTTACTCTTCAACTTTGAAAGTTTTTTTTTTTTTTAAGAGAAAAGAAAAAACTCACCCAGCTGTCACCACTATTCATATTTCAATGGCCTCCAAAGTGCTCAAAGCCACCTGGTTGACTTTTGCCTTGGAGCCGGTCCAGAAAAACATTATTTACCCTTTAAACAATGAAAAATGTGTGTAAGTGGAAAGCTTGCTACAGGGCTGAGAAATTTTTGAGAACCTAACATGCTGTATGAACTGACTGTGAGGCCCCTCAGCTTAGAAGTTATCTATAGAAAACTTCACATTAGCCACCTGACGTGCTGTTAACAGCCCTTTGCTGGAATTGGGGCCAGTTATGGCTCCAGCCAGAGGGGGCGCAATTCTGAACTTCAGAGCTTCAGTCCTTCATCTTCTACCAGTTCAGCAAGAGCCTTATTGCCCAGCAACCATACCCCTCCAGGCCATGCCAGGTGTGAACTCTAGAGGCTGAGGAGGGGTGGAAGCTTCAGCAAGACCTGAAATACGAAGGGAACCCAAAACAGCTCTGTGGCACTATTGTTGCAATGGAAATGTCCCTCCCATATGCCCTGTACCCCTCTGCCAGTCTTGCTAAAGTAAATCCCGTAAGTGCAAAGTAGAAGGAAAATAGGAAGAGAGTATAAGAAATGGGAAATATCAGAAAAGGGAAACTCAACCTTTCAAAAGAAAGAATGGGTATATCTTTTCCCCATGTTTGGTCATACTTGCAGCAATCAATTTCAGAAATTAAGGTTAACACATAGAAGGTAAAACTTAAGGAAAGGCAAGAAAATGATTATCATAGAGGTCAGAATAAGGGTGAACTGTAGGGTGGTGGTTATATTCTATTTCCGGAGCTGGCTACTTGGATGTTCACTCTGTAATTAATCATTCTAAATACTTGTTTCATGGATTCTCCTGTGTGTTATAGATTATATATATATATATAAAAAAACTTCCCATGGCCACCATTCTAGTCTAAATCACTATCCTCTCTCATGTTGCTTTTGCTTCCTCCACTCCCACCCTCTGTAATTCGTTCTCCACACAACCACCTTACTAAATTATAAAAGGGATCATGCCTTCCTTTTGTTTAAAACCCTCCTATGATTTTCCATTAGTCTTTTTAATTTATTTAAATTCAACTTAATTAACATATAGCGTATTAGTTTCAGAGGTAGAATTTCGTGATTCATCAGTTGCATATAACCACCAGTGCTCATTCCATCATGTGCCCTCCTTAATGCCCATCATCCAGTTACCCCATTCCCCCACCCCCTTCCCTCCAGCAACCTTCAGTTTGTTTCCTAGAGTTAAGAGTCTCTTATGATTTCCCATTAGTCTTAGAATAAAATCACTGGCTTACAAAATCTTGTATTTTCCGGCTCCTGCCAACCTCATTTCATCTTATTCTCTTCCTCACCATCTATAATCCAACCGCTTGAGACTCAAAAAGTCCAAATTCATTCCCACTTGAGGGCCTTTGCATTTTTTTCCTATATACCTAATAATAGGGGACATCTAAGTGTATGTTTTGGACCCCAATCTCTATCTGACTGGCTCTTGTCCTTTGATGTTACCTCTTCATGGAGGAACTGTCACCTCCAGTCTCTCTCCTCACATACATATCATTGTCTGAAATACTCCTGCTGTTAACTTGTTGACTTCTATTTCTTTTCTCCAGATTGTAATTTCCATGCAGTCAGGGATGTTCTCTGCTATTTTATGCCTATTCCCGGTGCCTAGAACAAATCCTTCATGGAGTGTGTCCTGATAGGTAAAAAGTGAATAAATGAATCATCCAGGTGTATGGTCCCCATATCTGCCTACTTCTGTGACTGCATAATGAAACCACCAATGGTGGTGAGTATAGGCTGCAAAACAGCCCAATGTCCACAGCTCTCAGTTTATTCATGCACTGTGAAGACTGATGGCTTGTCATGTACGTGGGTGGTATGATTCGCTTTTGAGCATCAGTTACTAAGAGGACAGCACAGTGGGTCAACAAGAGATCATAGGTGGTAAAGAGATTGTTTTTTCTCAAATCCTATTGAGAATTCAAAGAGAAGAAAGAGTACCAGTTTATAGATTTGTTTACTAGTGTTAGAAAGTGCATACATTTTATTGCTGTCAAATCACTGCTCTGGATTTTCTTCTAAGGGTTAATATGGATAAAAACTACTACTTAAGGATGGTTCAAGTTTCAATAAATCAATTCAGTTCACTCCAGTTTTCAGCTCATAGAGCAGATCTCTTCAAGTCCTTGACCCCTATGCTTTGTCTTTTCTCTTTGAGGTTTCAACTGTCTTTTCTTACTTGGAAAGTTACCATGGGTCAGGTTCAGGTGCAGCCGGGCTCAATCAATATAGGATGCATTGGAAAAGCTTGTGAGGAATTCCACAAGCTTTCTATTATAAAACACAGAGTTGAGTTGTCCGCTATGTCAACTCCTAAATAGTAGAAAGCATGTTGTCTTTTTGACTCTAATAAAATTATGTCCCTGGAGAAAACCTAACTTATGGCCTCTACACCTAACACATCCACAAACCCACACACACACACAGCTAATGCTATTACCTTCAGCAGGAACGGTCACAGTGATTTTATTCATTAAGAGACTACTGAATGAGTATTTTCATTTAACATGCGAAAGCTCACTGTAAACTCTAAAGGACAATACAAACATATGCTCTCCTCAAAAACCGAGTGAGAGCATAAAATATGTGTTCAAAAACTTGATCAGTTACCTCAAAACTGGTTACTGAGGTTATTAGCAGAGGAGATTTAATTTAATCTAAGAGGAGAGATTTCCTCTTAGATTAAATTTGCATCTATATTTAACTAGAATCAATAAAAAGAGAAAATAGGTGTAGAAAATAAATAGCCCCACCAATATTTAGGTATCCAGTATTATGGAAATAAAGAATGAGGGTCAAGTTTCCTACAACAAGAAATTAATCCTTTCCCCCTCTAATCAAATAACTTTCATTTTTATTGGATGACCACTGAACATGAATTTCTTAGCAAGAGGGCCTATTAATGTAACATATCTCACTATCTTTAAGATGCTTAAAGCTTTACAATCTAATCAGTCCTCAGAAATCCAGAGAAATAACTGGCTACTTACTAACAACCAGTGTTAAAGAAATGCACTATCAGGTTTTTTAGTAGAAATAATTTTAAAGAGAAAATGAGAAAAACCAGTAAGAGACTAAACTATTTTATATCCTACTTTATTTAAAAAAAAAAAATAGGTAGCAGTAACTGTTACCACTTACCCCAAAAAATAGCCTAACCAGTGTATCAGAATTTTGATGTCTTTTAGTCAGAGAAAACCACATAAACTTGACCTTTTAAAACTATTTTGACTGGACTATGGAAGCAGAATAATCCAGCAAAAAAAGAAAAAAAATATGAGTACCCATCCATAGTTCACAGCTCCAGCAGAATTGGGAGCTTCCATTAACACTTTGTAAAGTCTCAATTACAAAATGAAACCACCACAACTAAAAAATACACAATAGCAATAGTGGGAAGGTTAAACGTATAAGTGAAACCACTCAGCTTCAAAAGAATTTGCTCTTTTAGATCAGGAAAGCCTTTACATTAAATTCTTCTGAGATCCTCAAGCACACTGCAATAAACTCAGATAACCCAAGCGCCCCCAGGAAAATCCTAGAATAATGATAGATATGGAGGTAATTAGCACTGGCCCAACATCAATATGATATTTTACTGGGTATTCTCAGTGTCTGATATTAGGGATAAGAGAGTACTTACAATGTTAAAAATTGTTTAATGGTTCTATTTTAAGATATTTTTCCTAATATGTTAGTCAATATAAAATAGTTCTTGTCTGACCTTTCATATTCAAGTGTGAGTATCTCACCATCTATATGAGTTCAATTATTCTAAAGTTGTCTACAAATAGTAAAAGATCATCTCAAAGTAATAAGATTCTTTGTCCCATGGGAGGCAAATTAAGTATCTCCTAAATAAACAAATAGCTTGACAGCATGATTCCATTTTCTAGTGTGAATTTATGCCACCTATCCAGAAAAATTGGATATTGTATGTGTATGTATGAAAAATCAGATATTGTATGTGTATGTGTGTATGTATATAGCAGTTGGTGTCCTCAGATACATACCATACCCCAATAATACAAAGATTAAAAAGGTAATATAGATTCCAAAACCATATTCAATATGACTATAGTGTTTTCTTAAAACATTGCAAAAACTTTATAGGTAGTTATTTTAATCAAGGATGCTTATCTTATTAGCCATTTATACCTTCTGTGTTCAGCTTGGTGGGCTTTGGTTCTTTCTTCCTCCTGTTGCTGTCGGTTAAATTCCAGTAATTCACTCTAAGAACAATAAAAGTTTTAAAATATGGCTTTCAATTAACATGGTTGTACAGAAGATACCCAAATCAATTACATATTTAGCCTGAGCTGGTATAATATTTCATTTTTGAAACTTCTACTTAAGTACCATTTCCACGTGAAATTATTTTCTTATATAATTAGGTAGCAAAAATAATTGTGCCTGAGTCAAACAATAGCTCTGGGAGTATAAAATTGTAAGATTAAAACGCCAATGTGCATGCTCAAGATATTAGACTAATAGGTACAACATACACAGAGGAAAATACAACATGAGTCAAACTCACCTGTGTCTTCCAAAGAAAAATCACATCAGTTGTTCAAGAAATGTCACACAATACTACTTCCTGGTATTTCTCTAACATTTCTTTCCCAACAAATTTATAGCAGCTTACAAATAAATGTTGGACTCAATTCTGTAGTGCAATTCCATTAGGAAAACGTTCTCCATCCTGGAGAATAATCAACTTACCTATTATTGACTAGTTATTTCTAATACCAGCAGAACTTTGGACTCCCTAGAGGGGATACTTTGCTTCGGGTAGGAGATCGTGTTACTACAACTAAATCTCTGCTTATTCTGATTATTTTCCTAGAAGAGGTAACTTCCAAACTTAGTTACTCTGCTTATGGTATTAAGCCAAAGAACTAGGTGCCAGGATTTCTCTAGTATTCAAGTGTCTTCCTTGAGGCTGACTGATTTTTAACCACTTTTCAAAGACAGGAAAAGGCAAGGGGATATTTTTAACCACAAAATGTCCTGGATGCAAAATATAAAATAAATTCAAAGTTCAAGTTGACATTTTACTTTTTTAACTTTATTCAAAGGCCTTCTAACATTCCACCATCCCCAAAACAAAGAGACTGTTTCATATACTCTGATATCCCAAATATATTACTCATCAATCCTTAAAGCACATATTTAATTCTAATTGTTATCCAGCACCACCACCAAGAGAAAAAAATCAGAGTTTTCTAAATAGTTGAACAATATTCACTCAACCATTCTACAGGCATTTATGCACTAGATGCCAAGCCTTGTGCTAGAGACTCACTTTCCTGCAATGACATAAAGTCCAAATGGCATAAAGTCATTTATTTCATTTTATTTTTTGTCACTATAATGTATGAACATAGTTAAAAGTCTACCAAGTAAGAGAGCTACTTATTATTAGTACTACCAAGCCTTATACTAAAATAAAAGAAGCTCCTGTCCTCCCCCATTAACCTCCAAATCACTTTGAATTCCTGTGTGTGGTTTATCTTCCAATTACCTCCTTCTTAATAGTATGCATATTCTTCTATTTCTTAACTTTGAAAAAACATACAGCTTATGACTTCTTGCAAATGAGTTCTGGCTTTTCCTGCTCTATGTTTTAACTTCCAAAATTCTGCTGGTTCCTTTTCTTTACTGCAGTCTCCAACCTGTTCTTTTGCTCTTACTGGCTTACGGCTTTGAAAAAAAATTTGGGGGGGGGGGGCAGTGCAAAGGTGTTCTCTCTCTCCCTAAAATAAATAAATCTTTTTTTTTTTTAAGATTTTATTTATTTATTTGACAGGGAGAGACACAGCGAGAGAGGGAGCACAAGCCGGGGGAGTGGGAGAGGGAGAAGCAGGCCTCCCGCTGATCAGGAGCCCGATGCGGGGCTCGATCCCAGGACCCTGAGATCATGACCTGAGCTGAAGGCAGACGCTTAACGACTGAGCCACCCAGGTGCCCCAAAATAAATAAATCTTAAAAAAAAATTTCCCTTTATCATCTTTTCAATGGGCTTTAGGGAGAGAGAGACTAGAGATAAGCAAATGAAATATTTTAAAGGTACAATGTTTAACCAGAACTTGACATTTTCCAACAAAAATTTTACCAGAATTCTGTTATTTGATCCTTACAATAATTCCCAAAGATAGGCAGATAAATAAAGTATTAATTGATGAGTGAAGATTATGCTTATTTTACAGATGAGGGAACAAGATCAGAAACTCAGCTTAAGTAACTTATCAAGAGCTAAATGGCTCATTAGTCGCAAAATAAAGACTAAAGCTCAGACTTTTTTTATCTAATCTCCTGAAAGATGCATCCAAAATAGGCAGTTAAGATTAACTTGTCAGTAGTTCATCATACTCAAGTATAAATGCCAGAATATAGCCCCCATTTAAACTCAAAAGTTCTAGCAGAACATATCTAGCTTAAATAAAAAACTCTCTTGTCAAAGGATGCTAATTCTTCTCACATGCACTAACCCATTTCTCCAAGGAGCAACTTCTGATATCCAGCCCATCCTAAGTCAAATAACATGAACTCTGAACAAATTAAATTCTCATCAGTTCTAGACATGAGACAAAGACAAAAACTATAAAAGGTATATATACTGGCTATACATGAATATTATTACGTATTTCTTCAAACTATTTTTTTCAGCCTTGGCAAAAATGATCCTGTAGTTCATCTGGAAAAAATATGCAATCATAGCCATGAAAAAAAAAAGAAGAAATGAGGGAGAATCAGATTCTCCAAATATTAAAACCTATCATGAAATTACAGCAATTTAAACTATTTGATTGAGTTCAGGAATCCACGGAAATGTAGTTTACCACAAAGTTGTATGCTAAATGCATGCAGGAGAGACAATTCAATGAATGATGAAGAACTAGCTAACTATTCCGAGAAAAATTAAAACTACATTTTTTAAATAGAAAAATTTTATTGAGGTCTAAGGTTTGAATTAAAAGATGGAACCATAGGAGTTTTCACAGAAGGCTTGGGTAAATTTATTTATAGGTGTAGAGCAAGGAAGTTTCAGAAATCATAAAGGAAAATGATTGGTAAATTTGGCTGCATAAAAATTCAAAGCTTCTATCGGAAAAAGTAGCATAAACAAAATTAGAAAACAAACTTAAAAAAAAAATTTATAACACGTATAAACTAATTCAATTATTCTTTCATTCACTCAACAACATCTGAGTGCTTCTTATGAGCCAGGCTTGGATCTATGTGACAGGGATACAATAATGAACAAGTTAGAGGAGAACTTTGCTCCTTAAGAGTTTCTACTCTAGAAAAAAGGAAACCCATAAACAAGTGAGAAATATATCCAGTTGTAATCCTATGTGGAGGATTAAACACACTGATGTGAAGCTCAGTTACTATTTTAGATCAAGGCTCAGGGGAAGCCTGAGGAGGTGGCCTCATAAAAACTAAAGAGAAAAAACAACAACCAAACAGAGAAAGGGCCAAAGGATAGGAAGGGAAAATTCGCAAAGTACAGATTGCTTGTAAATTCAAAATGGTCATCATCTTCACGCACAAAGAAATATAAATCAGAACAATGAGATAAAATTTTTCTATCATACTGAAAAAAACTAGAAAAGATCAACAGAAAAACAAGTATAGTCAAGCACTTTGGTGACATATCTAAATTAGTGAAAACTGATTTAGTTTTTGGACAATTTGGCAACAACCATCAACAGGTAAAATGCACACCTCCTTTGCAGAATTGTTCAAAGATACACATACAGGGATAGTCACAGTTGTAGTATTGAAAAGTAAAAGTTCAAGAGAAAGTCTTAGTGCCCATTAATAAGGAACTGGACCAGTAAGTTAAACAATTTACACAATGGAATACCATGCAGGAGATACAAAGAATAAGGTAGATGAGAGAGAAGGGGAGGCACTTATAGAGGGATCTCTAAGATATATTAAGTAATAAGAGATAGGTTCAGAGAACAAACTGATGGTTGCCAGAGGGGAGGGAGGTGAGGGTTGGGCAAAATGGGTGAAAGCTTCCAGTAATGGAATGAATAAGTCACAGGAATAAAAGACTTAGAAAAAGGAATACAGTCAATGATATTGTAAAAGTGATGTATTGGGACAGATGGTAGTGAACATAGCATAATGGATAAACTTGTTAATTCACTAAGTTGTACACCTGAAACTAGTGTAACATTCTGTGTCAAATACTCAAAAAACTTTTTCTCATGAGACAAATAAATAAAATAAATAGAGGGGGAAAAATAGGTTCAGAGCAGTTTTCTTGGGATTATTCCATATAAATAGAAAAGATACATGTACCTCCATTTCAACTTTTATATACAGATGTGTATCATATTTAAAATAATTTTATAAAAAACATACACCAAAATGTTAACTGTAATTATCACTGGGGAGAGAAGCATGGAAGGTAGATAGGCAGGGTAAGGAGCTTTAACATCACATATAATTTTTGCTTTCTAACTTTTGATCCATGTGCATACATTACTTCCTCATACTATCAACAGAGATTTATCTGCATGGGAGGCCATTTCTGGTCCTTTATATTTTCCTCTATTTAAAAATCCTAATGAATACATAGTTTTTTATATGTAAAGATGTTAAAAAGCAAAACACTACATTCTGAAGCCAAGAACTGCCAGGGAGGAAGAAAAGAGGGCAGGAAGAGAAGTAACACGCATCCTCCTATGACAGAGCAAGGACAGGGAGAGGAGAAAACACAGAGTGGGAGGGAAACCGGGACAGAGCTGTTGAGGCATCACCATGCAGGAACATCGCTCCAGATGGCAGAGGGGAGGCTCTGGCAAAGCTGCACTCAGGATTATTATTCTATATCTAGCAAAGCGTATTTACTAGAGAGAGGCTGGTTTTCCTTTGGTACCACAAAGGCTAATTTCAACTAATTAATTTGTTCTGCTGAATTGACAGCCATTGCAGATGCATCCGCATGCCTTATGAGCATATCCTTGGTTCATTTACTGGTTTCTCATCCAGAAGTGCAATACCTAGTTGGACAGACACAAATAAGTTGTTCTTGTTCCAAGGACTGAGCTTTGGACATTAAGGACATCAAAACACTTTTAAGCAGGAGGAATATGACACACAGCGTCTGAGAAACCATCAAGCCTGTCCCACTCAATACACATTTGTTAAGCACCAATTGTTTTCCAGACACCTGGATTCATGCTGCAGGTACAGATGCAAATAGACACAG